TGCTCACATCTGATGAGCAAAACAAACGCCATGGTAATGATTTGAGGAACTCAGGAGCTGCAGGTTGTGGCCAGTCCCTTGGAGCTGGGGCCAGAAGCTCCTTGGTAGAAATCCCAGGGGAAGATGCTGCCTCACCAGTTGCCTACTAACCCTTTCAGGATCAGATGCTGAGATCAGCTGGGTTTATGGATGCTTTTCACTGGAGGGTGGGTCTGCCAGGCAGATGTGGCTGATCCCGTGTGGCTCCCTGCAGGAGCTCCTCCTGTGTAGCTCCAGGCCTTGCAGACTCTCTTCCTTCACACCAGCATTGCCTTTCTCTGCCTCTCAATTTCCCTGAAAAAATAAACAGAAATGAGAGCTCACCCTGTTTTCAACTGCCCTTTCCTAGAGCTCAGCACCACTATGTGAGCATACTGCATGTAGGACATCCAGAGATGAAGGACCTCAGGAGCATGTGGTAGCTATCAAGTAGAAGTCCAGATGTAGTTAGGAGCAGCCCCGACCACTGCAGGTACCTAGGCATCAGCTGAGGGACAGAGTCAGCCCTCCTTTTGCATATGGCAGGGGCCTCCGGCGTGCAAGGCTTGCTTCTCTGTGCTTTGGTCCATGTGGAGTTGGACCAGTTTAAACAGAGCAGCGGAGTCCCATGTTGCTGCTCTTTGGCTGAACTTCATGACTTCTTTGATGCCTCCCATACTTCCCCATGCCACTGCTGTGTGGGAAAAGCCCACCTGGGACACCCCATGGCAGACAGTGTCCGGAAAGTCCCTGTCATCACTTCCCAGCATAATCCCAACTCTGTCTCCAAGAGTTGGTAGTATCCATCCTAGGGGTGACGCAGTGGCAGGGATGGGGACATCTGCTTTCTGCTTTGAACTTGGTGGATGTTGCCCTGCTCCTGCAGTATCTTTTCTCCCTCCAAACTGACCTGGGGTGTAAATCAGAAGGGAAGGACCTGCTCACTCCCCACGGGGCTCAGTATTCTTGCATGTTGGCCAGTTTTCAGGTCCAAAGCAAGGCAGCACTCATGCTCCTGGGAGTTCTACCACGCTGCTCTCTGCTTTTCAGAGCCTGTGCCCCAGCCTGAGCTCCGGTACAGTTCAAACCTGGCAGGTTCGCCCATCGAGCTGGTCTGCATGGTCCCAGAGGGAACAGTGGCTTCCATCTCCTGGAAGAAGGAGGGACATCCCCTTCCCCCTGAACAGTGCCATCTGGTCTCTGGAAACATCAACGTGCTGCAGATAAAGAAGGGAGAGAAGTCGGACTGTGGCTCCTACTCCTGCAATGTCAGCAACGTGATAAGCTGGAAGGAGACAGCCCTGAACCTGACCGTGACAGGTTAGCCTTCCCCTGCCGTGGTGGATCCGATGGTTTGTCGTGTTGTCGCAGGTCCACCCTGCAGGATGCAACTGTCTCTCATGGGCTTTCCTGAGCAAGGAAGACCCAGGACTCATCCCTCACATTTTCCAGCATTTTGCAGTTTTCTGGGATCACCGCTCTGTTTCAGGGTTGTCCCCAGCATGGGGTTTCCCTCCTGCCCTGCCTTGCAGGTCTCACGCCTCCTCTACGCCATGTGGAGAGGCTGGCCATCGTCGTGCTGATGTTCGTCACCGTCTCCGCCACCAGCTTCATCATTATGCTGCTCTGTCAGCTGAGGAAGCACAGATTCGGTGAGTGCCAGGACTGCACCCCAGGCCCCCAGACTAAACCCTTCTCTCCCCACCGTGGAGAGGGCAGGCAGCAGAAAGCCTCAGCCAAGTTCCTTCTCCCCTGTTGTCCTAATTCACTTAGGTAGTGGGAGGAAACATGCTCAGCTTGTGCGTTTCTTCTTATGCCTCTGTAGCTTGCACAGAAAATAAAATTCCCTAGAAGCAGCTAATCCCAAATGGCTTTGTGAGAGACAGAACCAAAAATATCACAGTACCAAGCGTACCAGTCATTCCTTTCCCATTCCTTGGGCATTGCTGGGAAGAAATAAAAAGTGCAGGACTCGCAGGCTGCATGGCAAGACCCTTCCTGCTTGGAGTTGGCCAAAGATCATGTCTCATGGGTTTTGGTGACCAAGCACACTGGTGTTAGGGTCATGACAATGGATCTGTACCCAAGGAGCGTACAGGTTAACGTGGGTGCTTCAGTAGCCACATATATATTGATTAACAGAAAACAAACCTAAAGACATAGCCAACAGCAAGTCCTCTCACACAGTCTTTGTAATCTGCTAGTGCATTCTACCCACCAGAATATTATCCCCAGAATAACAGAGACCATCTGGACAGGAGAGGTGAAGCCCTACAGCTGGCAGGAAAGTTCTCCCGCTTGTATTTGTCTTTCAGCATTAACACTGGGGATGTGCGGGTTGTGGTGCTAGGTCTTGCCTTTGGGGGTAATCTCCCCTGAGGAGCTCTCCGTGCCTGGTGCTTGTGGCAAGAGCTTGTGCTATGTTGGCTTTCCACCATGAAAAGGGTCTCCAGAGGAAAGCCAGCATTTTTCAGGTCATTATAGGAGGCAAAAACTCAGGCAGAAGTGTTGTAAAGTGTCTCACTAGGTGAAATTGGTGTCTGGTTCAGTGTGGAACAAGCCCAAATCTGGCTGGTTTCTCCTGCTTCCTCCTGAAGTCCAAAGCAAGCCCTTGAAAGTTCGCCAGGTTTTCTTTTCAGGGTTTCTAAACCTCAGGGATTCAATTCTTTACAAAGAAAACCTGTGCTGGTTGTTTGTCTTCCCTTTGCAGGCTGCACCCATCCTGTTTGTGTGGTACTGAGTATATTTTTCTTTTTTCCCAGGAAAGGAAGCATGGAAACATAGCCTTCTGTCCACCTATGGACTGCTGTGTATCTCCTCTCTCCTCCTGTTTGCCACCTCCATCATCTGGATGCTGGAAGAAGGTAGGATTCATTTAAACCTGATTTGTTCTTGATTGCTTCAGTGTCTCATCTTTCGTCTTCCTCTAAGTCTCTACAGTAGCATCTTTGATGTAGCAGTATTTGATTAGGAGAAATTGAATTTAGACTTCACTGCTCTGTAGCCTGCAGGCTCCTCTTTCTCTGCTCTTTTGAAACCGAAGGGCTATATTAGTCCTTTTGCACTCTTCAGGTACCACTACCCCTTCTCCAGGACTTCTCAAAAATTAAAAAGCGGTTCAGAAACCACTTCCACGAGACCTTAAGGGACCACAGGCAATGAACACAAAGCTTGGCTGTTCTAAAACTGCTCCATTGCCAGTTCTTCCCTGCTCCAAGCTGAGGCTACCTATTTGTCATGCCATGGGTGCTCATTTGCTACGTGCTGAGCTGCAAGCAGACATTAAGCCCAAAGAAACAGACCCCGACCCCCCCCAAAACATGTGGGTCTTCTCCCCATTCTCTGTGGAAAGAAGCGTGCTGCCTATGTGTACCTTTTTAATAAATACTGCCTGCTGCCAACTTCTAGGATAAAAACTGTCCTCAGCTGGAGGATATGGTCCCCTGGCCAGCAGCGCTAAGCCAGTCCCGCTTCCAGACCCACCCCCCAGGCGATGGGGACCGTTCTCGGCCGCAGTCTGCAGTCCTGCTCCTGCTGCACAGCCCGGTTGCACAGGGGACCGATCCTGCGCTCCCAGATGCAGCAGTCAGGTGCAAGGTCGCCACAAGCCAGCTTGCCTTGCCTTGTTCTCAGACCACTGCCTCCACCAGTTTCCATCTCACCTTCTGGTTTACTTCTGCTCCCACAGGTCCTTCCGCTGCCTTCATCTTGCTTGGGCTGTTCTTCCTTACTGCGGCAATAGGAGCTGCCCAGGCAGCAGCAGCAGCAGTGTGGAGACCAGTGGCTCCTGGTCACATCAAAATGTGTAAGTTGCTCTTTTTGATCTAAACCTCTGGTGGAAAAGGCCTGGTAAGAGCCCGGGAGTGAACTCCTTAGGTTTGCACTCCCAGGAGGGAGCGGAGGCTCGGCACGCTGCTGTGCCGCGCGCCCAGAGACATTGCCCACGCCTTGCTCGCCCTCCCACCGAAGCCCAGCTCCTCCACATGCCAGCCTGAATTCCTTATGCATTTTCCTCTCATCCGTCAGCAATTTTTCCCTCTCCCAGGGCACTGTGTCATCCGGAACTCTACAGCCCCCACAATACTGATCGTCAACTTGTTGTTCACCATCCTCTTGCTCCACAATATCCAGCAGCTCCATGGTAAAGGGTGGCCTGGGTTTGTGCCATTCGTGCCCTTCCTTGCCTTTCTTCTGGGGACCGGTAGGGTATCTGGGGGGGTTTGGCTTCACATAGGGCAGGGAGAGTCCTTAGGTAGTTTTGCATGGCTGGTCCTGCAAGAAACCTTGTTGTAGTCGACGTAGTCGTGGCAGCTTTGTGCTGAGCGGGAAGGTTGTAGCTCTTACGTAGCAAAGCAAGGTTTGCCCCGGTGCCTCCATGATTTGAAACACAGGGATTCCCCCCATCTTTCCGTCACATAGGAAGTCCCTGGATTAAATTTGTGGTGCCTAAATGCTTAGAGGGGGGTGTTGGCCAGAGAAGCAACTGCTGACAAGTTCTCCTTTTCTTTTCCGCAGAGCGAGGCTGCTCAGAGGCCACTGATCTGACGACCAGCTGTGTTTTTGCTGGCGTAACAATCCTCATAATACTGCTGGTCCTCCTCCTATTGTGTAAGTAGCCCCGCAGTTTCCTTCCAGGAACTGTAATGAGCTGCTCAGCCACTGAGACCCCCCCAGGCTCAGCCCTCACACCCTCCCCTGGCAGCAGGTATGAGGAAAGATGCTTTCAGTTAGATAAAAGCCAGACTTTTCTTCTAAAGAGCGGGACTGTCCAAATCAGCCGAGGACCCAACTCTGGTGTCCATCCTTTTAGGAAAGGTACAGTAGGTACTGGTCCCTGCCTGCGGTCCTTGCCAGCACCTCTGCTTTGTCCATGGATGCTCAAGGAAAGCGAGTTTCTGCTCCCGAATGTCCTACCGTGGTCTTCCCTAGCGATAGCCATACCCTGATCAAAATAACCTCAGCTATGGCAAGCTTTGGGAGGAGAAAACTATCTGATAAACAGGCAGAAATAGGACTGGGAATATCTTATGACCGCGGAGAGCAGCTGACCAGTCATCCCAGTGAAGTGGGGCTTGCAGAGTGAGGTCAGGTAGTTCATTTTCCATCCCTCCAGCTCTGGGATGGGAAGGAAGAGATCAGGGAGGTGATTTCCACATCTGCTGTGGTTTTTCCAGCTTCTCCTTTTAAAGTTCCTGGTTTCTGCGGTCTCATCATGTGAATCCCCTCACTGCCGTGAGTAGCAACTGTATCTGGCCCCGGCCTGCACCGGCTCTGCGGTGGCCCGGTCTCGAGGGCTGGCTGGGCATCCCAGTGGGCTTCCTGAAAACACTGGCTCAGCCTTTGGGATCGCATGTAGCATCTCGGGGAACTGGTAAGAAGGAGAGTCAATAGCATGTTGAGGAGAGGATGCCCTCGAGGACAGGATTGAAAGGGGATGCTCATGCTTTCCTGGAGTGCACGGAGCATTTCCAAGCCTGAAATACAGGAAATATTGCAGCGAGTCCATACAGCCAAAGGGAGGCAGGTTAGAGCCGTGGGGGCTTGCAGGCAAGGTGGGTGTTGTAGGCAGAAGTCCACTCTGCATGCTGCCTTCTTGCTTCCCCTCGCCCCCGCAAAACAGGGCTCTCCTGGTTTTGGAAACAGAGGAGCTCTGCTTGGTGAAAGGCTCCCATCTTCATTGCTCTCTGCAGCCAGCTTTTCTTCACCCATTCCATGAAATGCCGGGTGCGGCCCGAATTGCTGGAATGTTGTTGGAAACCCAAGAGTTACTTGGCCTTTCCTTTATTTCCAGATCACAGGAATAAGCAGAAGGAGAAGATGATGAAAAACCAGCATGCCACCCAGACCGCACAAGTCCTGCACACCTCGGTAACTCCCTGCCATTAGCTGGTCCCCTGCTATTGCAAATCCTTATTATTTAATGACGAATATTTAGTTCATAATGAATATTTATGAATATTTAATTCGTAATAACAAGGACGCACCTGCCTGCCTTCCTGCAGAATGCTGTAGGCTTTGTCCTCACCCTGGGGGGTATGCAGCGAGCCTGCTGTAGTTCAGCGTGGTCCCATGGGACCCGTGGGGTCACTGCCACGTCCTGGGGAGCTTTCCTGGGTTTTGGGGTGCTGTGGACGATGCCCCGAGCGCTGCAGTTTCACCTCCACTGCAGGGACATGCTTGGCTGCATCTCGGTGTCCCAAGTGTGCCAGTTCTCAGGGCTGCTGCAGTTTGATTTGGGTAAAAACATACTCTTCTACTACACCTAACCCGGAACAGCTGCAAATAAGACGCAGGGGAAAACCACAGGTCCTTTACCCACAACATCAAACTAAATACACATGCCTTCTATATCCGCTTCACTCTCTCCCTCTTCCGCCCCACTTTGACTTAGAGAAACCGCCCTCCCTCCCTCCCACGCCAGCACCGCCAGCGCAGACTTGCCCCACTCCCACCTTCCTCCCCTGCCTCCTTATTTCAGAGATGCCAGAAGGATTTGAGGGTCAGGGGACACCCCCCCTCTCTCTTACTTCTCCCGCAGCTGAGCCTTAGGCTTGATGTCGGCACGGGAGGGGGGGGGCTGATGCTGCACCCCTGCATTTCAGGGTTGCTGGTGCATGTGCAGCTGCAGCCTTCCCCCCACCTCTGGAGGGGGTCATGGAGTGGGGGGGGAAGATTTACTGCCTCCCCCCAGGGCAGTCTCTGGGGGTGATTAGAGGGATTGGGATGTTTAAGAAGAGTGCAACGGCACCGGGGGGTGGGGAGGGCGCAGTGTGGCTGAAGAGCTCCTAGTCCCTTTCGTGCCACCAAAGGATGTGGTCCTGGTGTTTTCAGCAGGTGATAGAAGAAACCCAAGTACAGAGGCAAGAAGGGTAGTAAATGGTCGTCCCTCCGCCACCCGGGGAGCTGTGCTCACACACCGCGGGCAGCTGGGGAAGAGCCCTGAGAAGCTGGGAAGATGCCATCGGCCGAAGCAAGGCATCTGTAAGCTCTGCCTCTACCCTAGTGCTAGCAGGGCAATGCTTTTGGCAAAAGTCTTGCCAAAAATGTTGCCACCCAGCTGTCCGAGCTGTAGCTCCAGGTGGCAAATGATAAATTCCCCACCCACTTTCCCTGCCCTCTGTTTGGAAAACCCAGGCTAAGAGAAAGTACAAGCCATCGCTCTTACTAATGCTGGTTATCACCCAAGCAGGGGCAGCTTTTCCATGAGCCAGAAATTGTCTCAGATTCCAAACCAGAGGTTGACCATCCTAACGCTGTCACACCACGCGCCTCCTTTTTTTAATATGTTAATGAGACAACAGACAAAAAAATGCCAAAAAGACATGTAAATGTCAGTCAAGGGGCCAAGCTGATGCTCTGGAGTGTTTCAAGGAATTTGATCAAGTTGGCTCAACCAGAATGTACTGCTGCTATTAATTAGACAACTGCAAAAGAGCAGATTAACTCCCAGCTTTCGCCGCTGGCCTGGTCAATAGTTGTTCTGGTATAAAAGAGATGGGGACCACGCTGCTCAAGCAGTCCCAAGATGGACTGCTCCCAGAGAGCTGTCCTGCCTGTGCTTTTGCTTCTGAAGCTTTAAGCTGACCCCGGTTTGTTTTTAGCAGAGCTCTGCCAGACTCTGCCCACTGAGGATTTTGGTGTCACCACCCATCCGTGGTGCTGCTTTCTGCACCGCTTCCTCCTCCTGCCTTTCTAAGTCCCTTGTTGGTTCTCAGGGCGGCAGCTCTGCGATCACACCTTCCCCTCTAGCTTGCAAGGCAAATGTCCCTGTGTCCCACCACCTTTCTCAGAAAACTCGGCCCAAGCCCTTGTCCGTCTGTCCGCCTGCTCCTGTCCTTCCTTGTCTGCTGCCAGCAGCTCCAGGCACAGCTTTGACCCCACACTCCCACCCCTGGAAAGGATGCCTTGCCTTTAGGAAGGATAACCAGGAGAGGCAGGTCCATTTGTGCCTTTGGGGTGGGATTTTTTTATGTATTTTATGCATTTTTTTAATGTATTTTAAAGCATCCCTGAACTAGATTGGCCTGAGCTGATTTCCCTTCCATGGGATAGAGTTAATTGTCTTCCTAGCAGCTGGTATAGTGCTGTGGTTTTGAGTTGGTATGAGAAGAATGTTGATAACACACTGATGTTTTCAGTTGTTGCTAAGTAGTGTTTACGCTAAAAGTCAAGGATTTCTCAGCTTCTCACGCCCAAAGAGGTTGGGAGAGGACACAGCCAGGAGAGCTGGCACAAATTGACCAAAGGGACATTCCATACCATGTGACATCATGGCCAGTATATAAACTGGGGGGATTGGGGCTGGGGGGATCGCCGCTCGGGAACCAACTGGGCGTTGGTTGGCGGATGGTGAGCAATTGCATTGTACATCACTTGTATATTCCAATCCTTTTATTATTACTATTGTAATTTTATTACTGTTATCATTATTGGTTTCTTCTTTTCTGTTCTAGTAAGCCATTCTTATCTCGACCCATGAGTTTTACCCCCCCCCTCGATTCTCTCCCCCATCCCACTGGGTGGAGGGGGAAGTGAGCGAGCGGCTGCCTGGTGCTTAGTTGCTGGCTGAGGTTAAACCATGACACATGGTTAACTGACCTTGCATTCATGCTATGGCTTCAGCAGTTTCCTTTGCAGGTTGTGGCATTTTACATGAGGTTGGAGTAAGTTCTGCCAAAGTCCTTTTTGTTGTCGCCCTTGGACAGGTTGTCAGCTCTAGAATGTGTTCATCCATAAAAAAACAGAGGAAAAAAAAACCCCTTATGTTGCTTTTTTCTTTGCTTTGTTATAGCTGTTCTAATAAATGTTTTTTACACGGATACTTCCCTGTGTATCCCATCCTGCTTCCTCAAGCAGGAGATGACTCCATCCTACTCCCGACCCCTCTCATGGGCTGGTTCCCGCCCCGACGAGCGCTGGACCAGGTCTCACTGCCCAGGTGAGGGCTTTGTTGCCGTTTCCGCAGCTGCCTCTGCCCTCAGCTCCCCAGCCGGGTGCTGGTTTACATCGATGAAAGGGGAATGCTGTTTTCGGAAGAAGCCGGCTTCTCACTCTGCATTGGACCTGCTTTTTCCCGGCTGGGATGGGGCTCCAGGTCTCCCCTGGTGCAGCCAGGACTCGTCCGGGCTGTTAAGCCACAGGAGGGTGCTGGGTGCTGGACCCTCTCTGGGGGGGGCTTCTCCCCCAACCATCACCAACTCCCTCGACCTCCTTACTTCAAGCCCTGCTTCCCCTGCCTGAGCTCCGGCCGGCTGAGCGCCTGTGGCCCTGCCGAATCCCCACCAAGCCGTGCTGGCAGGGATGCTGTGGGTAGCAGCAGGCTCTCTTCCCGCATTCACTTATCCTCTTGGCTATGTTGAGACATCCCTCGTCCCCACCAGGCTGGATTCAGGGTGTCCCTCCTCGCTGCGGGAGGAACAGCCCTCTCCCCAGCTGGATTTATGGTCGGGAGACGGGTGCTCCACCGCTGTGGCTTGGACAGGGACGGAAAGCCCAGGGCAGGGACATGTACCCAGTAACACTTGCCTGTTAGAGTGCAGCTGCAGGCAGCAAACAAGGAGCAGTTTGGGATGCTGTGGATCAAACCTGGGGTACAGACCTGAGAATTCCACCATTTTTTGCCCCTGCTGGGCTTAGACCACACAGAGGAGGAGGATGGGGAGGGACTGATGACAGAGCCAGGAGCCAGGCAGTGATGGCTGGGCAGGCAGATGGCAGCTTTGGGGGATCCGCTGGGGTCTTGGCTTGCTGGGGGGGGGAGGGTTGTGCCCCAGAGAAAAACTGGCAGCAGGGACTGCCACCCCATAGCAAGGAGATAAACAACCTTCCAGCCAGGCAGTGCTGGGCCAGGAGCCTGCATGTCACTGCAGCCCCATGGCAGGACCAGGACGAGGCACATGGCAAACCCAGGGAGCTCCAGCCATTAGCCAGAATACAATTAACTAACTACACCGAGCTACAAACCCTGTGACATGGCTCTCGGAGAGCTCCAGGCCCCCAGGGTATCAGGCCAGAGCTGCATCCATCCTGTCCCAGTGCATTTCAGGTTATCTGATCAAGGACCTTTCCTGTGCAAAGGGGGAAGGGATAAACAAAAGCACACGGAGAAACAGCCCAGGTAGACAGGGGCGAAGGGAGATGATGCCAAAGACCAAAAATCTCCAGTCAGCGATTGATGGGCCACCAAGAACTGACAGGCAGAGCTTTGGAGAGGACAAACCTGGAGTTTGCAACTGATAAAGAGGGGGGAAGCAGGAGGAACAAGAGGATTTGGGGTGTTTGAGGGGAGATGTGACACTACACAAAACTTATTAAGAAATGGTTGGGGGAAGGGGTAGAGAGGAGGCGGGTAAAAGAGGCTGGTTGAATATAAGCAGTGCTTGTCTGACTGAGCCCTGATCACCGCAGTCTGCCCCAGCTTCTTATTAAATCCTTTCTTACCTATCTCTGTCATCTCACTCTCCATCCCATGCGGGATGTGCTGTAAGGACTCAGTGACAGGCGGGGACTGGTGTGAGCATCTAATGAGAGCAGCCTTAAAGGTTATAATGGGAAAAATACTGACGGAGAATGTCTGCGAAAATGCTGACAGCAGAAATGTCTGCAAGCCTGGGCGCTGCCAGCCTGGAGACCAGGAGCATCCTTGAGGAGCGCAGCTGGCATCCATGAAGCGCAGCTGGGTACCCGACAGCCTGAAACAGCCCGAGATACCATCCATAACCACAAAAACAACAACAACAAACTTCTCATCTGGAAAGGGGAAAATTAGTCAAAAAAGGTGAAAAACTGTCTGGGAAAGTAGGAATCAGTATCTGTGGGCTGTTCCAAGTGAAACAGAAACGTCAGCTCCAATAGTGGTGTCCTACGCCCCCTCATGTCTCTGTGGTATAATCTACCCAAAACGGAGCCTCTCCCTGCAAGAATTTCTCTACATGAGACAGGAACCCAGCTGCAAGATGCCTGCCTGACTCCAGACTTCCTGACGTGGATCATCCATGCAGGGAGACTTTGTCCATCATCGACTGGCCTCATTCCTGGGAGTGGTTTGATGAGCACTATACTGGTAACATTTCAAATAATACATATATACAGGTATTCATATAAGAAATTAATCATAGACATACTTCTAATATTGATATGTAGATACATAGATACTTGCTGCTTTAGTAGTGGTAATTTTGGTAGTAGCTTGAAATATATACATATACTTGCTTTTCTGGGAGTAATTTTGTAGTAACTTGAAACACATACTTGCTTTACCAGTAGTAATTTGTTTGCTTGGCAGACTTGAGCACACCAAAACACTTCTGCTGCTTAAGACAGGTGCTTGGTCAGATTTTGTCTACCCTGCTACAGCAAAATGATTGAATTTCACAGTCTTTTGCCAACAGCTTTGCTAATTAAGTGTAAGGCACATTAAGCTGCCAAGGCTTCCCAGGGAGGGGGAAGAGACACACGAGGGAGGAAGGACACAAAGGTACAAGCACAAGGATGAGGACGCAGAGATGGATGCTGGCAACATCTCTTCCACAGGTACATCCCAGCACATCTGACATGCTCCTGTATACAAATGCAGGGACCTATTTACTCCGGGCACATTTAAACTCCGCATATACTTTTCGTCTTTCCCAAAGGCTATTTAGCTGTTACAGTGCACAAAGGTATTTCCTACAGCCTAGGGGAGGCTTTTCTAACTACAAACACAGCTACTATGCATAAACCTGCATACAAAGGCCAGCAGATAAACCTTGAAGCTAAAACCTCCCTTGAAAAGCATCTCTGACCCTGTCTCACTTGGGTGGCATCTTCTCACAAGTCCAGCAACCCCTGGGACTACGGGCTGTGCCAGGGCGGCTGCTTGCCAGGTCCCAGTGACTCAGGGAACTGATACAGGTTAAAAATATCCTCGCCCGGCTTTGGAGCAAGGTTGTCAGGTTGGTTTTAACCCCAGCTCAGTCCTCCAAGCTGCGACCGCCGCAGGAGGAGCCGGGCTGCCCGGCAAGGGAGGGGATGGGGATGCAGGACCCCCACAGCAGTAGCAAACGACCTCCCCAAGCATGTCAGCTCTTCCCACAGGGCTGGAGACCGGGGTAAATCCGGCATCTTCAAGGTCTGCCACCTGTTGCAATCCACCACTGAAGCCTGAAGCCTGTGCAGGGTCCAGCAGCGGGGAGCACATCCCTCCGCTACCGCAGGCTTTAGATACCCCTGAGTTGTTATTTCCCACCCCTGAAGATGACAACAATATCAACTGGGATAATGCACGCACTTTTATTAGTAGCAACAGACATTAAAAAACCACAACGTCTCCAAAATGATTTCCAGACAACTCTCCAGCAAGTTTAGAAAAGTAATTTTTGTAAAACATCTGGCTGCATTCGTTTTACACCTGTTAAGTGCAACAGCGAACTTGACAACCTGCACTGCAGCTTAAAACTGAGGTTGAAATCTAGTTTACTCCTCCCAAACTTCTCCGCTTCCTTTAATGCTCTAACTGCAACACAAAATCCCAGGCTGAGAGATGGCCCTTTGCTGCTGGCCCCTTTATATCCCGGTTATCTCCCTGGGACAAAGCCTCGCTGTACCGTCTGCCGGAGCAGCAGCAGAGCAGGCAGAGCAGGCAGCATCCAAGACAGTCAAGCCACAAGCCAGTTCACTCTCCCACGATTTTCCCATTTGCCCTGGAAAGAGGCATGGGACAGCTTAGCGACTGCTCACGCCACGGGATATGATTTGAGCATCTCCTGGGTGCACTTCTATTCTCCAAAGAGAAGGGATAACTCCGAGGAGAGGGAAACCCACCACTCCCCTGGCCAGGAAAGCCCTTTGCGGCAGAAGCAGGTCTACAGGCAAGACCCAAGCACCAAAAACATCCACCTGTACCACTCGCCATTTGCTGACTGTGGCTCGGAGCAAGGAGAGGTCCCCAAGCCACCAGCTGCTCTGGGAGAGAGATGACCATCCAGTAGCTAGACCAGGGCACCCAAAACGCCTGTCCCTACAGAGGTGCTGGGGACCAGCTCAGACAGGGTGCTGGACCTGGGGTTGTCCCCATCGGAATGAAAGATGGGTGCAAACGCCCCGGCCTGATGATCAGCAAGGCACTTTGTGAGGTCCAGCACTCCTGGGAGAGCATCCAGTTTTCTCCAGGATGAAGATGCCAGTCGTGCTTCCAGGCTAAGTACTTTCAACTATAAGAACGAATAATGACCCCTTCACAAGCAAAGCCCAGAAGAGCTTTGCAGAAGCAGCATGGGGAAGGGAGGCAACAGGAGCAGGGGCTAGAAGCAGCGCTGCCCTGGCCATATCAAACCAGACCAAGTCCACCATCACGCACAGGAGCAGCAAAAGGGAAGGACAAGCTTGCATCGGCACACGTACGACCCAGGTGGCTAGTGCTTGGGAGAGGAGGGGACGTCCCCAGATCCCGCCGGAGCCCAAGGCTGGAGGACAGAGGAGATGCGCTCGGGAGCATCCCTACGTCTCCCATGCCAGGCTGCGTCGCTGCTCTAACGCAGCCGGCCACAGGGATTTCTTTGGTGTTTCCTTTCTGAAACAAAACTATTTTGCGGCTCCTCCATCCCCTGCCGCCTTCCGCTGGCTCCGCTTACCTCCTAGACTCCCCAGTGCACACCACAGCAAAACCCTGCCCTTTTTCCTCCCTCCAAGGGCCAAACTGAGTAGAAAGCCCACGGTCTCAGCCCCTGAGCCACGCTGGCCGAGTCTCAGGCACAGCAGCACACTGCGAGGCCACAGTGAGGGGCTCAAGCCCTGGGGAGGCAGGGGCTGGCACCAGGGCACTCCCCAGACCGTGTGTTTGTCCGGTGGGGATGGTGGCTCCTTCCAGAGCCATCAGCCCATCCACAAGCACTTACCCCACACAGCCTCTGGAGAAAGCCAGGAGAGGTGAGGAGGTCTGGAGCACAGCGGCAGCCAGGTCAGCAGGCACAACCATGCCCACCTCTCCCCCAGGGATGTGCAAGGCACCCAGGACGACACAGAAATAGCCCAAGCCGGTGTGTGACAAACAAAGAGTTGTGGGGTTCAGCAGCCTGAGCAATTCAGAGGTGAGCCCAGAAGAGGTTGGGACAGCATCGGACATCCAGCACTCCCCAGGCAGCATCCACCAGCACCATCAGCAGAAGGCAGCAAGGGCGCAGCCGCTCAAGATCTCCACCTGCAAGGAGAAGAGACATCTTCATCTAAGCCATCTCCTGGGTGTGGATCCTCCATCTGCCACTCACTTAGACCCCCTCCGAGGCCCCAGGCAGCTGCAGGGTGTCACACGCTGGCGGTGGCAGTGCTGAGAAGGTCTGGACTTGCGCTCTACTCCAAATTTCAGGAGCTACCTCAGCCAACTTACCTCTGGGAGGAGTTATCTGGGACCTGGCTGCACAAGACAACCAAGAGCTCTCTTATTTTCGACTGCCTGCAACGTAGCATGGGGTTTCCTATCCTTAGGGAATCACATCCTTGTCCTCACCCTCCTAGAAGCTTCAGTTAACAGCCTGAGTTTTTTGTGGTCACACAGAGCGAGCAAGCTCCGAGAAGATTTTGAGAATCACTCAGTTCCCAGAAACCTCTGAAGCCCGTTGGAGAATTCAAAAAAAACCCCCACCCATTAAGAAGCATGTTTCAGAGTGCATCCACTCTGCCCCAGGGGCTGTGGCAGCTTGGTTTATGCCAATCTGGAAAGCATTACTGGAAACCAGAGTCTGGCCCCATCTGAGTCACAGACGTGCTTTGGAGAAGCTGAGCTTTTCCCCTTCGGGCAAAATTCTGCTCTCCCAAAAATCACAGCGTGAGTTTTTGCCTGCTTTTACAATGGGAGGAATTGGGACAGGACCACCACTTATTACCCTAGTACACCCAGCTTCAGAAAATGTGTAATGGAAATTAAAAAGCCAGCTTAGAGCAAGAACAGGTGATGGAGCAAATGGATGACGGGCCAGGAGGAACTCCGACGTTCCCTGCTGCCAGTGACCCTGTACTCCCCACTGCCCGGGGGTGCCCAGCACCTGCTTTGCCAGAGATAACCAGCACTATCAGGCTCTGGGTGGGAGAATCAAGGATATTTCCAGAGCAAATGCCAGTGGGGACTAAACAGAGGGAACAGCAAATCCTGTGAGGCCCTGGAGTGGCAAGAGCAGGCTGCCTCTTACATGAGCAAGGAGAGGTTGGCAAAGGACCCCGAACTCTCCCACTTGTCTGGCTTACTCGGTTCCAGCCAATAATAAATTTTGACTTGTAACTACAACTGGAGGAGCAGGGCCACCCCTGAGAGAGGGGCTAAAGGCATCTTACCTACAGCCGTTGCGACACGGGCGGTCCCTTCTGCACCAGACGAAGACACCTGGGGACAAACCAGTCATCATCTCCATTAATTGCCCTAGAGATGGTGCTCAGACAAAGCACAGCAACGCTCGGCCAGGAAACCTTGAGCCGGGAATGAGGAGGGAGCGCTGATGAGCCCCCTGACGCAGGGCTGTCTCCCTGTTTGGGGTCTGGAGGTAAACCACCCCCCTGCCCATCTCCACACTGCCCCACAGGTACCCATCGCCCCAGCCCAGCCGATGGCCAGGGAGCAGAGCTGGCCACCAGCTCTGGCCACGTGTGAGCGGGTACAAGGGGAGTGTCACGGAGATGACGAGAGCAGGATGAGCTTTTCCAGCACCTACCCAGTGCCTGGAGGCTTTTCACAGGAAAAACCTGAAAACTTTGTGCAATAGCAAAACATACATATAAATCACCTAGGGAGAACCTCCTACTTCTATTTTAAGCTGCCAGATCCTCTTCTCAGGTCCGGACTTGGGCGTTTCCTTTTTTTTTTTTTCCCCCTCCAAGTTTGCAGTTGGCAATCTGAGAATTAAAATCCCCACTTGGCCAGGGACTGGGGACAGACCGGAAAAAATGCTCTTCAGCTCCAAAAAAGGAGGAAAAGCAAGACCACTGAGTAAGGAAGCACATTTCCCTTCTGCGGGCAGAAAACTGCAGCAGACCACGGTAGCAGGGGCTCAGTGCTCTCATCCTAGAAGGGACGTGCAACTTCCCCCAGTGCCCATGGGACTTCGGGATGGGGAGGTTTGGCCCAGATCAGGAAAGTAAAGTATAATCTCATGCCTGCTCTGGACACGCAGGAGACATTTTCATGACAACCCTCCCATGTCTGGGAGCAGGGAGGCAAGGGAAGGCAACGGAAGACATTACCTCCTCAGATTGGGGACGCCCTGCTTCAAACAATGGCAGTGACAAAGCCCCAGTCCTTACCCATGGGACACCTGGGTGAGGAAAGCCAGGTCCCAGCAAGGACGTGCCACATCAGCCAGCACAGACCCTCTCACCCCATCCCTTCTCGCTCGCAGCCCGTGCCGTAGAGCCCACCAGCCATGCAGCAGCCAGCAAAAAAGCCAGGGTAAAGGGTCAGCCCCAGCACTCACCTGCGAGTGAGCCGACGATAACGCACACCAGGATCACAGGCAACACCACATTTGCAGCGTCTGCAAAGGAGAGGATCCACAGTCTCTGCAGCCAGACAGAATTTAACCCCCTACACACACCCTCTAAGCAAAGAACCTGCTGCTGGGCAGTTACGCTCAGCACAGGGACATGGAGGCACTGGGCGAGAGGATGTGGGTTTTGGGGCTATTTCCCCTGTTTCTGTTCCCGGGCATCAGGAAGAAATCCCCACTTACTCTGAACGTGGAGCAGGAAGGAGGTTTCGTTCTGGCTGACTTCGTTGCGGACCACACAAGCGTAGTAGCCGCTGTCATTCATCGATGCTTTAACAATGCACAGGGTGGTGTTGTCAACAAACTGGATGTGGTCACTTCCCAGCAGCAGCTCCCCATTTTTCTTCCACCAGTACAAGTCTGCCTTCCCTTCCAGGACGTTGCAAACCAGTTTGGTGTTGCCTCCTGCCTTCACTGACGAGTTGCCCACGATTTCTGGCTCGGACAGTGGTTCTGGGAGAGACAGAGCAACCGTCAGCATTCAAACCCATGGCTCCCCAGGTGCCAGAACCAGAGCACCCTCCTCCGCAGCGGTTCAAGCTCTCCAGCTGTGGCGGAGGTTTTGCTACCTCACCACTCACCGACAACGCGCAGCTGGAACCAGCCCGTGGCCTCCGACTCGGACCTGAACCGGTACAGCCGGTCGTCTCCCTGCTGCAGCACGATCTGCAGCGAGAAGTCCGTTTCATTGAACCTCGTGCGATTCTCGTAGGGGCGAGAAGTGTTGGCGGGTCTATCGAAAGCATAATTGACGATGACTCCTTCTTCTGGGCCAGTTTTATATTCCCAGAAGACAACTTTGCTGGCCTTCAGTGGCGGTATCGTCAAAAGCACGGTGCAGCCCACGGCTGAGACAAGTCTCTCCGACGCCGGCCTGAGGTCAGCCGAGTAGCATGGAGAAAGCGTGCGGGCTGAAAAAGAAATGAGATGTTACTCAATGGCTACCGAGATTCAACTTCATCCACCTGGGAGGTGGCCACAGAAACCCTCCCTGGCTCAGCCACTCTGCAAACAGCAGCGCTGGGGACTCGATTATTTGTGGCTTTAAGCAGCCACATGGAAAAGCAGAAGGTCCCAACAGTTGCGTACGAGTTCCCTTCGTATCTCTCGCCTGAAAAACGCAGTTCTTGGCCTTTATGGTCAGCTGGTGTATCTGCACAGCTCCAGCAGCTCGTACCCAGGGGTGACCACAGACCCAGGGGTGACCACAGACCCAGGGGTGACCAAAAACCCAGGGGTGACGGAGCTCAAGGAGCCCTCACTGCGCACAGGCGCTTTCCTGTCGGATCACTGCCAAGAAATTGCTCTAAGAAACGGGAAAGCCTGCAAGCCCCTTCCCGATCTTCCTGGAAAAGCTTTTGTCCGGGGAAAAGAGGGGGTTAAGGAGTGCCCAAGTCTGGGATTTGCTTTTGCTTCTTCTAACGGGAGCCAGGAAGAATTCCCTGCAGCCCCAAAGCCCGGGGGGGGGGGCGAGGCGAGGCGCAGCCCGGCTCGCCCTGCTGCAACTCGCAACTCTTCACAAGCCAGCAAAACACCCCAAAACGCCCGGCGCGAGGTCCACGGGCACCCCTGGAGCGTGTGTCCGTGTCCCCGCCCCCCCCCCGGGATGCGGTCCCGGGAGCGCTGGGGCGGGGGCGA